GCTCCCCAAAGCCTCACCCCACATGAAAACAGGTTTAGGGATTCTTGTTTTCCCCCCAGAGAGTTAAGGGGATTGTTTCCTGCTGCTAGGGAAGGCACTCTCTGAGATCATTTCTCTCAAGTTGGAGGAGCCAGGGGTTTCAGGGGTTAAAGAGTATTTCACTGGTGTGGGATTGAGCAGAGGTGAGATTTTCATGAGCACTGTGTACTCTATCAGTTTACAACATGCTGTTAATAGAGGCCATTAATCACAGCCAACTGCAGCTGGCTCAGCCTGGTTGGACAAGGACAGCCCGCCATCTTTGGGACAAGTACTGAAGGAAGAGCCTCCTACAATTACCCCTGACGCCTGAAAATCTGTCCCAGGAGAGAAGAAACATGATGACACTGGCACATATATAGCTGGTGTCTCATTCACTCCTTCCCGGTCCTCCCCTAATGTCCCAACCTGAGTAAAATGCCCAACACGGCGCCGAGTACACATTAGGTGATTCATGAATACTTGTAAAGAGAGAAGATTTTGGAAGGCTCTTCCCCCAGACATCAGCAAAGAGGGAGGGAGAGGTTTTGACTGCCAGCTGCTGGGCAGAAACCCAATGCGACTAGTACCCCAACAAAGTAGAATCTGCAACTGGGCATTTAGAGGCAGATCTTTGCTTGCAGGGGGGCAGTGGTGTAGGGGCAGCGGCCAGTCAGTGGGTTCCAGATGTCAGCTTCATATCTGAGAACTTCCTTCTCTTTCTTTGGTGTCTGATGGGCCCACACTCTCTCAGTCTTGGCTATCCATAATACCTCCAACTTCAGACCCCTGGTTCTCTTGGATCTGTTATGGTCAAGACCATATGGTCAAGATTCTGGTGGACTAACTAGGCTGGTAGGCTTCCAGCAAAATCCTAGACAGCCTATTGCTAAGGAGACTGAAGTCCAGCCACCATGTCTCAGAATATCCCACCCAACATAGTATTGTACTCTCCAGCCGAACACGGACCATCTGGACCCAACATGCTGTTAGATACCAGAGGAATTATCTGTTGTCCTTAGCCGTCTCCTTATTTTAATCTTGAGCTTAGAGCAAGAGAAAATGAATATAAATTAGGAGGAAAGGTTTAATCACTTGGATGAGTTTAGCAGCCATCATGTATGTGGAACTTACCATCTATCAGCCTCTTTGACATATTATTCAAATATTATCTCATTTAGGACTCAACAACATTATGAAGCAAATATTCTTTTATCCCCATTTTATAAGTATGGAAACAGAAGTGCAGACAGGTTAAGTTCTTTGACTAAAGTCATAAAGCAAGGAAGTGTCAGATCTGTGTTTGCAACCCAGGTCATCTGGTTCCAGTCCATGCTCTAAGCCACCCAGAAAGGATGGGCCTGGGAAGAACTTTTTAATAGTATGGTGTCAGTCTCAGGCTCCCATGCAAAGATCCCCCTCCCTCCAACCAGGTGTGTGCAGCCTTTCTGGAGAAGAGGTGATGCAGTGGACCTTTGGACGCCCTATTAGTTGACAATCCGCCAATTCCCCTGGAGGATTCCCTACTCTCAGACTTTATTCACTTGCTTCTCTTTCTGCACCATCCAACAGGCTGTTCTGAGCTGCTTGGTTGAGTTCAGCTGTTGCTGAGGAACAAGTAATGTACAAACTCTGAAGGATTACGGTGCTGATGAGGCAGCCATCAGAAAATATCACTTGACAGGGCCTCTCTATTTCACAAGTCACGGGGCTGAGCATGGAGCCCTCTTCTTGTCCTCTAGCAGCCCTGGCCTCTCACAGCCCAGCCCTTCTTATTTCCACCTGAGCCTTCTCCCACAGCTGCGTTGGGTTCATAATATTTGTTAGACCTTCAAAGCCACCCCTCCCTGGTCCCATATCAGACACTTATATAGAGACCCGGGAATAAGGGGTCAGCTTCCTTTGCTCTGCAAGGTGCCCCTTGGAGTGCCCACCTGGCAGCTCTTTCTACACAGCTCCACAGGAGGGGTTCTTTGTGTTGCTTGTCCAAAATATCTCAGAGAGGACAATTCATGAAGCCAGTGAGATGGAGTTTCTGGGGGCAAGTTTTCAGGAATTAATTGGGGCCCTCATGAGAATTCAAAGTACACAGTTTAACTGGCCTGGCGTTCTGCAGATTTCTCCTGGGCATGCCCAGATGGTGAATGCCGTACACAGACCACACTCATTTCTGCTGTTGTAACACAAAAGATGCCATCCATGAAACATAAATGAATGGCTATGGCTATTTCCAATAAAACTTTATTTATGAAAAAAGACTGTGGAACAGATTTGGCCTATGGGCCACAGTTTGCTAGCCCCTGAGAGAAGCTGGTTTAGGGCTGGGGCCTGGGTGGGAACCCTAGCAGGCAGAGCTGTGCAGCAGGTTCTGTGGCAATACCCCAGATGACTGAGGTGCACCCTGACCTGCACAGACAGGGGACACTGACCTGACCCATCCCAGTTCAAGTCATTAGTGGACAGAGGTCTCTGGGAAGCACTGGGTAAGGGTGAGGACTGCTGTTGTGGAATGGGGTTGTGGGGTGCTGCCTCAAGAGTGAGGGGCCCTCAGGTTTTTCAATGTTGCGTTCAGTCCTCCTCTCCACTCAGACAGCTACCTTGCTAGGGAGGGAGCTCCACACAAAGTTTGTCATGGACAAACACCTTCTCTTTGGCTGCTGGGCCATATCAGCTCTCTGTACCCTTTCTAGCAGAGGCAGGAAGGAACCCCAAAGCAAATTCCCACTAGATTGTGTGTTTATTGGATGCTTTTTTGGTCTGGTGCTGATGTTCAGCAGCATCTGGGAAGTCCTAGCCTGGGAGTGGGGAGACCTCCAGGAATCATCTCAGATGTTATAGACCTACCTCATTTCCTCAGGGACACCCCTCTCTCTTCTACCCCTAAGCCTCTGCTTATGCTGTTCCTTCTGCCTCTTCCTTCATCTTCTTCTCTTAGCTGAATTCTCCTCATCCTGCCAACTCCTCCAGGAAGCCTCCTAACATTTCTACCCTCCCCGTCGTCTTGGCTAATGTCACCCTGGGCTCCTATTATGTCCTAATAGTCCTCAACCATAGCCCTTGTTTTACTTTGTTGTAATATTTATTTGGACTGTACCTCTGCAAAAATGTAAGTTAGATTGAAAACTCCATGAGGAAAAGGACCCCAGTAACTCACACAAGATTTGGCACACAGAAGTTGCTCAATAAATGGTTATTAAAAGAAGAATTCATCCCATTTACGTCACCAGGCAGAACATTCCTTAACTATTGCAGGAATGAATGTGTCCATCATGTTCCCTATAAATTTCCCAAGATGTATGAAGAACAAAAGCCTTTCCCTGTGGTTTTATATACAATATTTCCCTTTCAGCTTTGGATTCTGTTCATTGAAGTACAAACACACATGTATCATGGGTCCCTAGAGGTGTCTGAATGGAGGCCAAGTTCTTGTCTTAGTGGACTTCATTTAGGGAGGAAAGTGGTAAGAGGAACGTTTTCCTGGACTCCTTCTGGAAGGGAGACTGACTATCCCCTTCTATGCTTGGGTACCATATTATTTCTCTGTGACTTAGTTTCCCCCTTTAAAAACAGGAAGGTACAGTGTGTGTGGTATGTGTGGGGTGTGTGTGAATGGAACCTCTGTAGAGTGAACATTTCCCTCTCGAGTTTGAGCAGGTTTTCTCTGGAAAGGAGTTTTCTAGCTCTTTGGTGTTCTTTGGAAAACTCCAATTGTAGTTGGGATTAGAATTTCCACACCATGGCAATTTACCTGCACCCCTGCCTGCCACCAGCTCAGGGAACATGGGTCAAGCTCAAGCTTCTGGCCTAGAGATCCTGATAACACCCCTCAGATTCAGCAACTGTATCCCAAAGAGCAAGAAAAACCTTCCAGATACCTCACTGACCTTCCTAATTTCCCCGGAAAGGAAAGGAGGAACAGAGATGGGTCGTGTAGAGCCAGGGACATTGAAGTACAAGTTGAAGTTACCACTGAGAATTTGAATTTGGACAGCAGCCTCCTGTGCTGATCTCTGTTCACCCTTTTCTTTGGGGCCTGATGTAAATGGCCAGTTACAGCCCGTGGATGGTACCGGGTCTGTTACTGAGGAGTTGTTGCCTCTTGACTTCAGGGTTTTGTGCCTTTGATGGAGAAACCCTTAAGGTATTCTTGGGGGGCAACTGGAATGAGCCTGCCTAGCAGGCTGTGGGGGCTGCTAGTAAGGAGCAAAGCAGTTCCTAGTCATGAGTACAATATGTTTATGGGGTAGTAAAAGCAGATTGCAAACAAATATATCATTGTCTTTCTATTCTTGCCTCTGTGCCTGTGACCTGTTGCCCACTTGGGTGGTCCTTGGGACAGGGACTTATTCACCCTCGTTTCCCTTTGACTTCAGATTCCCTGCCTAGGAGATCTGCCTGATAGTTCTAGGTTCTTCTCCCTTCTTTCCTCACCAGAGAGTATCCCTGATAGAAAAGCTGACAAAGCAACTAACAGACTGGGCAGCTCATTCATTGCTAGCGTAAGAAGTGCTAAATCTTCTTCAACCTGTCAAGGGCAACTGCTTGTAGGTCATTCAGTAGGCAGGTCCCTCTCAAGTTCTGAGACTGGCATCACTGGGCGAGGAGCTTAACCCCAGCACCTGTAGTTCTGAGCAGCCACTCTCTTTCCCCCCTGCCCACCCCCTCCATTCCTTGCATAGCTATTTGATAATCATGTGATGTGCTTAGTGTGTCCCCATCTCTGCCCTTAAAGTTCCTGTCTCCTGGCAAAACACTCTGGGCTGAGTAATTCCTGGACAGAATCCAGGCTGAGGTGCTGTAGGGATAACAGAGGATGAAGGAGACACCGTCCTCTCCTTGGGGAGCTCATGAATGTTGTGGATGAATTGGGGCAGGGKTGAGGCACACAGGTCCAATCCCCGGCCGTCTTCTGTGCATGTGTATAATGCAGGAATGGCAGCAGGTGGAGGGGAAAGAGGAAGAAGATGCTGGGGGCGGGGGGAGCCGAGTCAAGAGATCCTAGCCAGGCAAGGTTTCTGGCAGAGACAGGCTTTCCATAAACTGTCAAGAATGTTGCTTGACAGGAAGAAAGAGATCCAGGTTCAGAGCAGAATAAGTGACTTAAAAACAGGGCTCAGAGGTAGGAAAGGAGGCATTCTGCAGAAGGACTAGAATAAGGTCCTTGTAGGTATGTCAGGCTAGAATACAGATCCAGCATCACCAGATTTTTCTCTCTCTAGATCAGACATTTCAGGAGAAGGATGAGATGAGAGAGGCTTCACATTCCAGGGAAGGACTCAAGATCTCAGACTAAATCTTTGAACAGTCAAGGGTGCCTAGTCTGGTACCCAGGTATGTATGCATACGCATTTATGCATGCTAGACAGTCAATATGTGGGGTTTGAGTGAGCGAGCAGCAGGTAAAGCAAGGCGGGTGTGCACTGGTGTGTGAGCAGTGTGTGGGGATGGGGTGAGCTTCAGCAACAGCTGTGGCAGCCCATGAGCATGTGTGAACCCCTGCTGAGGACAGGGGTCGCCAGTGGAGATTGTAGTTTGGTGTAAAAAGATCACTGGCTTAAAAATAGGAAAGAATGGCAAGTCTGTAGGAAGAGCGGTAGCTCTGTTCCTCTTCCCTGTGACCGTGTCTTCTTATTTCTTCAGCCCCAGCAGTGACCCTCTCCCTGGTTCTCCCTGCAGCATATCTGCAGCCCTCCCTTCTCCTCCTCCACCCCTGCTGTCTCACTCATAATCCTCTCCATGCACCCACATCCACTTCTACCCTGTCCTAGAACCTCCACGCTACAAAAGAGACAGGAAGCCTGATGTAGACTTTTGACCATTAGTGCCCAGAGAAGAGCACAGACCCCTAGCTCCACAGCTTCCAGGGTTTCTGATGTCAAGTCCACCAACACTGTGCCAGTGAAGGATGTCACAGGTGGGCTCATCTCAAGGAAGCATCTGGACCATTAATCATGGTGCTACTATGTGGAAAAGCCCAGACCCCATTTTCTTCTCCTTTGGTCCCAACCCCATCTCCCTGTGACTTGCTCTCCATCGTTTCTCCCTGTCTTTGACTCTTTGGTTCTTTGGGCTTTCTGCTCTGCCTCCATTTCTACTTTCCCACCATTCCCAGAACCCCTCTCTATCTGAGTATGCAACTCTGACCCAGCGTCAGCTCCAGCAAGCTGGAACCTACTGTGGCGTCTGAGAGCTGCTGGATACCGGGGGTAGGCAAGAGGTCTCAGGCTCAGGGACAGCAGACACAACACATCAAGGAGATACTCAGGTTCATTCCTTCCTTCGCTATGATTGTTGAACTGGGCTGAGTGCAGGAAATTCATCAGTGAATAAGATAAACACACTATTCTTGCTTCATAGAGCTCTCAGTCTAATGGAATAAGTAATACTACAAAAAAAAAAAATTATCCACTCTCTTTTTTTGTGAGTGTGTGTGTGTTTGTGTATGTGTACCGGGGATTGAACTCAGGGACACTCAACCATTGAGCCACATCCCCAGCCCTATTTTGTATTTTATTTAGAGACAAGATCTCATCGAGTTGCTTAGTGCCTCGCTGTTGCTGAGGTTGGCTTTGAAACTGCAATCCTCCTGCCTCAGTCTCCCCAGCCGCTGGAATTACAGGTATGTACCATATGCCTGGCTACCACTCATATTTAAAGCAGCACAATTCACAACAGCCAAACTATGGAACCAGCCTAGGTGTCCATCAGTGGATAAATGGATAAAAAGAATGTGGCATATATACACAATGAAGTGTTATAGAGTCATAAAAAAATGAAATTATGTCATCTGAAGGAAAATGGATGAAACTAGAGATCATTATGTGAAGTGAAATAAGACAAGCTCAGAAGTTCAAGGGTCATATGTTTTCTCTCATATGTGGCACCTGGAGAGGGAAAAGGATAAGAAAGTTGGGGTGGATCTCATGGAAATCAAAGGGAGATAATTAGAGAAAAGGGATCAAGTGGTAGGAAGTGAGGAGGGAGGGGGAAAGTGCTGGGGAGTGAAACTGGCCAAATTATATTGCTATATTGTGTGCATGTACGCATATGTAACAGCAAATACAATTAATATGTACACTATAATGCACCAATAAAAATGTGGAAAGAGAAAAAAATAATTACCTAATTATGTAATGATAAACTGTGACATGCCAGCAAATCCTGCAAACTCTAATGGCACACATATCTAGAATCCAATCTTCTCACCATCTCCACTGTGGTCCCTGGTGTCATCCTCTCCCACCTAGATTATTGCAGGGGCTCCTTGTGTGGTCTTCTTCCTTCTACCCATCCTTTCCCCTAGCCCAGCAGCCAGAGAGGTCCTGTAGCAACCTGACTGAGGTCTCGTGACCTGTGCTCAAAACACTACAATGGTTTTCCATACTTTTCAGAGAAAAAGCTGAAGTCAATGCCATAGCCTATGATTCTATGTAACAAGTCCCTTACCTCTCCCTTATAATATCCCTTCACACCCCCTCTGCTCGCAGCCTCACAGTCTCCAGATAGAAAATGTGGAATTTAAACCTGGTTCAGTCTTGTTCCAAAGTCTATGCCCCTTTCACTGATAATATTATCATTCCTTTTCACATAGGAGGCAATAGATGTTCAAGGAGTTTAAGTCACATGGTTAGGAAATGCCACAGCTAAAACTTGAACATAGGTCTGCATAGTTGTAACTCCTGAGGTAGACTCCTTATCACTTCTAGAAGACCCAAAGGTCCTCTGATATAGATCAAGGAACAGTGTCATTGACAGTTCAAGGCACTTCCAACATATCAAGCCCTCCGTCATTTGCAATTCTACTTAGCTTGTAATTTGGGTCCGTTTTAGCTCAAGGTGGTTTCACCTGATCTCAGAAAGTCAGTCAGGAAATGAAATTTTTTTCTTTCTTTAAATTCTCGTGCTACCCAGAATGGAAGGGCAGTTTTATATCCACACGTTTTTGTGGCATGGCTCCAGGAGATCTGCTCCCAGACTCCTACAGAGAAGGCACCCAGGGTTAGGGTGAGGAGAAGCCAGTGAGAGCCTTCATCTTATCCTCAGGGAAGCATCATGAGGGGACAGAAGAAAGGCCATCAGGGCAGATTATTCTGGGAGAGAACCCTCAGGCTCAGGGCACCATGCCCCACCCTCATGTATCCCATTACACCCATGCATTGAGAGGAAACAGAGAAGGGGGTCCCAGAGAATCTTCTCTCGCATGGAGATGAACACCAGAGTTACTAATTCTAAGAGGGACCCAAGGCTGGAAAATGAATGGACCTCAGGTCTTCAGGTTCTCAATGTCATGTAGTCTGGTGCACTGTCAAGTGGTTCCTGATTGAGTTCCTCTGGGGGGGGCGGGTCACCAATCAGGTCACCAGACAGCAAAGCCCTTTTTCACTATGGGCATTAATAAGATCCAGCCGGCTCCTGTCAATCTCTCAGGAGCAAGCATCTAATGACCTAGGCTGACAGGTGGTCCCCTGGGACATGCTCTGAGTTAGATCAGGGACTGCCTGGGGCACTTTCCAGAATTAACTGCAGGAAGGTGGGAAGCATAGGAAACAAGGACCAAGGATGAGAGGAAGGAGCACCCTGTGGATTCCTGAAATCATTCACTAATGCAGGCTGGGAATTTGGACAGAATAGTGCCAAACACTGTCATAGAGCTAAACAAACCAAAGGGTTTGTCACTGGTCCCGATAACTTGCACTGATAATTTTCTTCCAGAGGTGGAATTTTCAATCTTTTTGTTTTTAAGTACTCATTCTCTTTTTGTTAAATTTTTTTGGGGTACTGTGGATTGAACCCAGAAGTGCTCTACTACTGAGTCACATTCCTAGCCCTTTTTATCTTTTATTTTGAGACAGGGTCTCGCTAAGTTGTCCAGGCTGACCTTGAACTTGAGATCCTCCTGCCTCAACTAACAAAATAGATGGGTTTAGAGACGAACATCACAGCACCTGGCTCTTTTCTTTTTCTTTGATCTTTTCTGGTTCCGTAGGAGAAAGTTCTCTAAGGGACCTGAACCAGGTCGTGGGTGAGCAGGCCTGGATTTCATGTGTTTTATAAATGGCAACTGGACAGATTTGGAGAGAAGAGAGTTGTCTTCCCGGCTCCATTCCCAGCTCTGCACCTGCATCAGTCAGGGCAGCTGTCGCCCACATTCACATCCCCTCTGTTGTCTTAAGTTCCATCTCTTGCAGAAAACAGATAAGAATCTCACCCCACAGGGTGATTGTCACACCTGTAAGAGGCCAGGGAGGCAGCAGCCGCTCAGCCAGGACACTTAGTTCCTGACCTGGCAAAAATCTTCATGTCCATCTGACCTTGCTGTCATTCACTGGACTCTGACAATGGCACACACTTTCCAGAATGTTAAATTTAAGTTTTGGAAAAGAAACTCAAAATGTATTTGGGCCCATGTTCGAGAAATTAAATAATCAATTACAGTAAAGACATTTGGGGAGGGGGGGTCAAAGGAAAGCTGTGAACTTAAAACAATAAGACTCACCGGGCCCCTTTCCTAACAATTTGGCTTCCAGGTTGTGTAATTCTCAGTGAGTCCTATTCCCACCCCAAATCTCCTTGGTCCCTTTTGTGAGGACCCCCTCCCTAACAGTCTTGCGGTTTCATTGTGCAGAGCCATGATAGGMATCTTCTCCACTGTCTTCTAGACATTGTAGTTACATATGAGTGTCCAAATGTCTCCAGCCATACAATCAAGTAGTGGTGGAGAAACTGTCTTTGTCCCTGCCCCAAATAGTAGTCAGGTAACCCGGGTGCAGGTTCTCTCAGACCCTATTCATTCAACAGATAAACGCCAAGTACTATTCTCAACCCAGTGAGCAAGATGTAATTCCTATCTCATGAGCTTACATATTTAAGTGGAGGGAGAACCAATCAACAAACACATCCCTGAGATAGATAAGATCATTTTAGTGACCCAGTAAGACAATTTCAATGACAAGAAGCACAGTTACTAGGTAACTGGATAGTCTAAGGTCACATCGAACCAACATGAAAAGGAGTCATCTAGGCAGAGGCAACTGGAGCACAAATTCCTCTCTATAAACCATGTGGAAATGGTATAATGAAAGGATGTGATTACAGGAGATAATAATACCAGGTGCCTCGCATGCACTGTCAATGTGGGGGTGGGAATAGGACTCACTGGAGTTACACAACCTGGAAGCCAAATTGTTAGAAAAGGCCCTGTGGGCTCTTGGTGTTTTAAGTTTTTCTTTGACCACCCGCCTCCCCACATGTCTTTACCATAATTGATTATTTAATTTCAATCATTTAATTTCTCAAACATGACGCCAAATAAATTTTGATTTTCTTTTCCAAAAATTAAACTTGACCCACTGCCAGTTTTTAATACATGCTCGTTCCCCTCTCTCTGTGCTACAGAGTGGCTGTCAGAGCTAACCACAGCAGTGAGGGACACTGTTTACTGGACACATGACAGTGGAGATCATGTCTCCCCAGTCAGCCAGCAGCTCCCTGAGGGCTGTCTGCTTCTGATACCACACATGCAAGGCAGGGGCTGTGTCCCCCATCAGAGGAGGAGCCTCCTGAGGCTAGGTGCTGTCTCCTCCCCAGCCCTCAGAGGTCCTGACTTTTAGGCAGAGGATTTTCCTCCCAGAGCAGAGGCTTCCCAAGGACATAAGGGGTCCAGTAAGCCCCAGCCAGCTCCCTGCTCAGCCCTCAGCCTGGCTCCTGTCTGTGGTGGCCTGCAGTGACTGCGTGTTCCAGGGCCACACCACAGGTCAGGGATGGGATTTCAGCCTGATCTTTACCACCAGCTGCATGTGGTTAGGCTGCTGGGAATTTGGAAAGTTGGTGCCAGGGGGAGGCTAGTTGATCCCAGGGAAGGAGCCATGSTGGAGGCAGGGGATTGTCACAGGGTCTCATTCCCAGGATCCTGTTTTCAGTGGGCCAGAGGACTGAAATTTCCCAGGGACAAGTCATGTCCTATTTAGGCCTCAATTTCCACCTCAACTGGATCTGTCCACAGCATCGAGCTTTCCCTGGGTTCACATTCAGGTTTCTACACAGAGGTTGCTAGCACTGCCCCTCCTTTAGGAGCCCCCAGTCTGCTGTGGGAGACACAGCCCCTGCTCTTGGGTGTGCTAGTCTGATGGAAGAAGACGGAGTCCTGCTTCGGATTATTTTTCTGCTCCAATTTAATCAATATACCATACCTCAGGGCTGTTTCTAAAACACACATATTATTTCTCTGCCTGAAAACCTCCCACAGTTCCACATCAGCTCCAAAACAAATACGGAACTCCACAGCAAGGTACAAAAGACACTTTATAACCTTGCCCGTGTGAGGCCCACGGGGTGGGTGGGCCTGTTGATGAAGAGCTGTTTCCTGCCTTGTCAAGGAATTTGACCTCCTTGAGGCTCCTTTATGAGAATTTGTGTGTTTGGCCGGGACTCTGTGCTTAAAGGGAACTCCCTCTCGCAGAGTCAGGGGAGGGAAAGGGTAGGTACAGCTTCTGACCATCTCCTCACCTTGGGGACTGTGGGCTCGGGAGAAGCTGCCTTGAGATG